GAAGAAAGCGTTCTCCTCAAGTGACTTACATTGTCTCTTGCAGGACGCCGTACCAGAAGTAACACACGAAGACACCCAGGCAGCAGACAGGCAACCGTAGCCGCTCGGAGAAAAACCAAATCCCTCCGCCTCCTGACCCCCCAGTCGCCCCCATGGCCGACAGTGCAGTAGTTTCGGGTGCAGATACTCTCAGTGGTAATAGCTCCACGCACTCATCCCGCACCGGCAACGACGGTGGCGGAAAAGAGGGCCTCATAGAGGCGGCTGCGCCGTGGACTAAAAAGGACCTTTCCAACTCCACGCGGAGGTAACTAATACGCTGCCTGACCAGCCTAACCCTGCTGAAGAGAAACTGCCGGACGAAAAAAGGATCTCGGCATCTTTTTTTTTCTTTCTCCCGTGCAGTGCTATGTGTTCATTGGCTTTTCCGTGCTGGAAATGCGCCTCTTTCACACCACGAAGTTATAAAGGGGCTTAGAAGGAGCAGGGCGACTTCTTTGGACGTCATCAAACGCGCCTGCCGTGATTACCCGGCCGAGTCGAACTTCGTGTCATGTTTTCATTGCTGGTGGGAAGAGGTGGGGAATGACGTTCCCGAGAGCAACGGTTGTTGGGGGCCGGACGGTGAAATAAAGATGGCAATGAAGCTGCCTGAAGGGCATTCGCTTTGTTGCTCTAGCAAATTGCTTCTTGTGTAGCAGGATTTATTTGCTTACAGTTTATTTTACTTTACTTTATTTTTATTTATTTTTATTTATTTACTTGCTTACTTACTCACTTACTGAACTGCCCATCTCCATCAAAGAGGAACTGTGGGTGGTGCACAATAAAATGTCAAAATATAATTTCAAAATTAATTTTTTAAGAGGGAGGCAAGAATAATTATGGCCTGTCAAAAATCATTTGAAAAATCGAAGAGGGCTCTTGGGACACCAGCCAACCCCACGGCTGTGTGAACTTTTAGGCAATGCCTCATCCCCAGAAAGGAGAGTATTGCACAGGGGGGTGGGGGTGGGGGGTAATGGCAGAGTTAAAGAATTCTAACTGATGAGGTCTGCAGCACACCTTACTTGCCTGACTGGTAATGGGACAAAAACGGTTCCGTTGGTATCGTGGCCCCATGACATGTAGGGCTTTATATATATCACAACACCTTGAATTGGACCCAGAACCAAACCAAATGCAAGCCCCGGAGTGGAGGTGTTACAAATGCCCTCTGGGCATTTAATATAGCTCACGTGGCTACATTCTGTACAAGCCGAAGCATCTATACCTTTCAAGAGTAGGTCCACGTACATTACATTGCAATAGTCCAAATGAGAAATGACTAGGGCAGAGTGACTGAGCAGAGAACCTCCCTATCCAGAAAAGAATGTAACTGGCGTACAACATAGTTGAGCAACAGCTCTAACAATGGCTGCCACCTGCTCTTCAAGCAAGAGCTGTGAGTTCAAGAGATCCCCCAGATTGTGCACTGATTCTGTCGGGGGTAATGCAAACCCATCCAAGACCAAAGATGATTGGCTCCTGGATGTAGAGGACCCAAACCACAGCCAGGTCTTACCAGGATTCAGTGAAACTCTTATTTAAATCCATTGATCTTGCTCTGCTTTCAGTTTCAATGGGACCAGGTTTGCCTTATCTTTGGGAACCTTTTTATATTGCAAACCACTCCAACTTCCTCTAGGGCAGTGCTTCTCAATTTTGGCAACTTTTAAGATACGTGGACTTCAATTGCCAAAATTTCCTAGTCAGCCACACACCTTAAAATTAGCAGAAATTGAGAAACATTGCTCTGGACTTCTCTTGTGCAAGCTCCTTTAATTGTTTCTCATAGGGTTTAATTATCAGACTTTTTGATACCTCATTTGATCCTGTCCAGCCAAAGTTGGACATCATACAACAGACACATCCAATGAAAGTTCAACTGTTACAATCTGGACTAATAGCTTTGGTTCTGGAGCTGAGATTTCTCTGAATGTTTTTAGCTGCTATGTCACATTGATTGCTCATGTTTTAACTGATGATTCAGTGGCACACTTATGGTAGTTCCTTCTCATATGCATTGTCACCAAGCTAAGTTTCTTAAACTTGTACCCATGAAGTTGATTTTCCTACATGGATGTAGGCTATTAAATTTATCAAAGATGATAATCACCCTCTTAGATTTCATGCATTGTTCAAGTCTTATTTTGAATTATGATTTTGACCTTTAAAGTATTTTAATTAATTTACCTTGCTTGATATCATATGCTAATTTGATAAACATCCATTCAGAGTGTTATTTTATAAATATTATAACACTGGATTAAGAGCACAGGCCACTTTACTGCTTTCCCCCTTAAGTATTATTGCAAAGCCACAATACTTGGGAGTGTGGTTCAGTCAATTCCAAATCTATCAGAGTGCAAAGTAGTTTAACCCACATTTATCTATTATATCGATAGTGATGACTTTGGGGTGCCGAACTAGACACTATCATAAAGAGGGTTTACTTGATGTCATTTGTTCTTGACATGCTGATTCTGACTTATTACAAAGAACATATAATTCTACATAGACAATACTGCTTGAGAAGTGATCATGGTGCTTTCCTCAGTCCAAATGTCAGGCCAACTGAATTTTTAATTTTCAAAATAGATCTTTTTTGAGAGAAGATGGATGCAAAGATGGAACACAATTTTAACTTCTCCATATTGCACATTATTTCCCAATCTTTTCTATATGAAATAATAACTCAAACTCTCCTTTCATTCCTTGAAGTACTTTGTGTCCTCACAGCTCACTTCATTCTGAGCTTTAGCTTTGCTCGATTGTTGCAGGCTTGAGATACTAGAATATATGCTCTAAAAATCTTTGTGCTTCTCAAACTGCAATGAAGTTGCTATTCATCCATGTAGCACTCTTAAAATTTTAAATTGTAATGAGGATTGTTCAAGTCTGTGCATATATTTTTAGGGTCTCCAATTATTCTTTAACTTGTTTAATTATAATTTTAGACAGAGTATTTGTCTATCTTTTTAAAATCTGCTTTCCTGGAATCCAAGATACATGAATGACTTCTCAGCAGTTAAAACTAGTTGTAGGTAATTTGAACCCCAACATGATTTTCTCCAAGTCTCTTTTTGCCCTCCTCAAGCCCTCGTTTCTTCTTTCATCATCTGAAAAATACTAAATTCCTACAATGGAGTATCCCTTTTATTTCTTGCTCTTTTAATTTTATCCAAATAAGGATATTGAGGGACTTTAATTTCTTCCCAGACATATGGCTTAAAAAAAAAAAACCCTAAAAACCATTCCATCTTTTTGTTCTACTTCTTTTGTACAAATAATATATTATGAACATTGTGTTCTACTCACGATTCTCATCCCATTAAGTTTCTGTGAAACTTAAGCCTCGTTTACTCAAAGTTAGGCTTTCTCCTGTTTGTTACCTATGTATTAGGGAACAGAGTACCATTCTTATTTGCAAATTCTTTGGTGTTCTTAAAACAAAGTGGTTGGAGGCTACCATAGGGACAGCCCAGGGTGGGGGTGGGGGAGTTAAGTTACAAGGATGGCATATTGCAGGGGCTGTACCACCAGAAAGACAAACCATACCAATTTATCTTCTGGTAACTGGATGTTTTATGACTGGCCTGTTTATCATGGCAGCCAGTATGAATGTAACCACAAATATTTTCAAAATTTTAAATGTTACCAGTAGCTAAATGAAAAAAGTAGTAGCTTAATGTAGTACCTGGGATATTGGTAGATAATATATCACCACTCAATCCATCAGTCAGTTCTCATTCAGTTTTGATAGTGCAATGTAAACTTGTAAGGCTATAAATAATACAACTGTAAATATGAAAATCAATCCAAGCTATTTTGATCATTACTTCTTCTTTTTTTAACATAATGCAGTATAAACATACTTGATACTCAAAATTTTTATCATTCTTTTAATTGGTTTAAACACCAAGAATCTGCAAAAATCTTTCATTAAGCTTTTCATGGTGCATACAGTACATTAACATTTACAAAAACTTCAAAAGTAGCTGCAAAAATACTGTCTTCAAAAGAAAATATAGTTTCTCTCAATTTCATAAAACCCTCCTAGTACAATCCATAAACTTAAGAACAAAATATGACTTCCAAATAGACTTTGCAATCAAGGCATCACCAGGTTTAAGGCCTTTCTACTGAAGGGGTTGCTAGAGGTATAGGATGAAGATGTAGGTGAACATAGGTTCTTTGGAGTCTTCTTAAAATGAATATAAAGCTGAGTGGATTTTCCAATTCATGGGCTAAAAGGGTTGTAGTGTCAAATGCAACTGTTGAGTTCAATTTATTATAATAAAGAAAAATAGCATATGTTAATTCCATTGGCAACTGCATCTCTCAAGAATGTTTTGGGCTTCAATTTCATTTTGCCAAGTTTTTTGAAAATAATAATTTCATGAGGTCCACTTGGAAAAACTGCAAATAGGACATTCTTCCTTTGCTGTTCCTTCTTATGAAGGGACTCAAAATATTTATCTATGACACACCTTGAATAATTTACTTATTCAATTATCTGGTGCGGCATAATCATTAGGAAAGAAAATACTTCAAAGGATTTAGCTGATTGTATTCCAGTGATGTGAGTGCCATACAGTGCAGAGCAGGATATGAAAAGAATCTTAACAGGGTATTGCAGACTTGAGACCCCATAAAACACTAATCTGCTCAATTTTTATCCAGTGACATCAACTGTTCAATCAGCATACACAAATTCTGGCATCTTATATTCATAATATACTCTATTTTGTAGAAACCTTGAGAAACATCTCTAGGAACATTTAAACACCATCAATGAGCTCCTGCCTCACACAGCAAGCAGAGAGAAAGACAATCCTTGCAATTAATTGTCTTATGTATTCCAAATGAGAAAATGCTATTTTTACTCTTTGGATACCAGAGTAGCAGAAAAACATTGACAGAGATGCTTAAGGAAAGGAAGTGCTCCTTGAAAGGAGTCCAATAGCAATCTTTACTTTAAGGCTGTTGCTGGGATCACTCAGTTTCCCAGTATCAAGGCACTTTTTTTCTACAGGCCTTGGAAGGACCATTAATTTATTTTGCCTCTACTCCACTCCCTCTTCTTCAGACGGCTACAGAACTATGCAAGAGGGCAGTGTCTTCAGGTTGGTGCCGTTTCCAGGACTCTAAATCTAATGAAGGAGATTTTGGATTTTCACTGAAGTTGTCTCCCCTCAAGTCTTTCTGTAAAGTGAGAATGGGGACAGTGGTAGTGGCTTGGCAAGAAGAAAATGTGTCTGGGGACTTTGGGCTGGGAGAGGAAGAGAAGTCTCTGTACAGGGTATTTACTTTGGGAATAAAAGGCTTCACCAGACTAAACTGGCAGAAGGCAGAGCCTGTTGGTTTGAAGTAGACTTTGTTCTTATCAGGACAAGAAGGCAGGACAGGCTGTTCAGGCCTAAAAAGAAAAATCAGAATTAAAAGGTATGTAAGAATTAATGCTAACAATGCTAAACATTGATAGGTTACAGGATGATAGCACAACGAATAAGACATTTTTAAAAATAGGCATGGACTTTTGTGTCTTTCAGGATTTTGCACTTTACAGCAAAAATGGGGGAGATGCTCACCAAGAGCCTGACGCAACAGACATGCTGCTTTGTACAAAAAACATTACTGGATTTAGAAGTTTTCAGTTTACAATGTACAAATTCTTTTACAGTGTCATAAACCCACTAATGTGCAGAGTAGTCTATCCAAGAGACACTATGATTGCCAAGAAAGAAATACAATGCAAGTGCTGAAGCATCTAATTACTTTTCAACCCTAAATATTATCCATCCCAAATCAATTTTGTATATAGAATCATTGAACTGCTTTGGCAATGAAGCAAAAATAGATGGATTACATTCATACATTTGAAACTCTCTTCTAACCTTGTCTCAGAATAAACTCAGTCCATACCACAAATGGGTTAGAATATATTTTGTTGATGGGTTAGAACGGAAAAGATTTCTAGATGATTAAAAGAAAAAAAACCAACTATGTTAGAAATCTGATAACACCTACATTTTGTTTTTATTATTGTTCGCTTTGCACTTGAAATATGTAGCATAACAATAAATATATTTAGCAGAATAGGTGTCATCAGTTTCAGAGCAGGAGTGGAGAGAACAAGATTACCTTGAATCAATCCTGAGATCAGCAGGTTACTACAAGAATAAGACATGGGCAGATTGTAAAACAATCTCTTTGAAAGACATTTAGTATAAAGATACTTATCTATCAGTGCTTTGTGGAGTTGTTTGCATGCAACCCAGATTAGAATTGGTACTTACTTTTATCATAATTTTATCAGCACTATATGGAGGGCAATTCTGTACTTGAGCCTCAGTTTTTTGCTCTATCATCTGTAGTTGCAAACAGTAAAGGTACTTACACTACTTCTTCAGAAGCATGGATTTTTTCACAACCCTCTGGAGGCTCTCGCTTGAATACATAGGTGTGGTTGGGACGAGGAGACGGGGCAAAGGAAAGGACTGGAGAAGTGCTGCCATTTTCTGAAAGAGGAAAATTAGGGAAGAGAACCCATTCTGTCAAATAAATGTGGAAGTAATGAAAGTTCAATTAAAATGCTACTTTTACCATATACCAGCAGGATTTCTGTTCCTCAGATACAACTACATACAAGTAGAGTTATATATCTGATAGAACTGAAATACTGAAATGAAATCCTATTATGGGACTGCCCAAGCAGTCTGTGTATCTTATCAGGTAGGTAGGTAGGTAAATAGAGATAGACAGACAGACAGACAGATTAGATAGATTGTTATCATTTAAAACATTTATAAAGCTGCCCATCTTCAACAACTTTGGGCAGCTCTCAATTAGAAAAACTCAAATTAGAAAAACTGGAATTTTTATATGTTATAAAATAAAAAACTTGATGGGAAAAAAAAACCTCAGTTCCAAAAGAAACAAACAGTGCCTCATCATGTTTAAGGATAAGTCTTTCATATCAAGGATGTCCATAACATATAATAAAAAAAAAGTGAAGATAGTGGCCATGACACACAATGCATATAATAAAACAGGTGGAGCTTTGCCCTTGTAACACTCTGCAGAACAACCTCTGCCCACAGTTGCCAAAATTGATAGCAGAACGTCTTACCATTTGGGGAAAAAACGACCATGTTCTAATATAGGCTTAACCATTTATAAAACTCAGAAGAAAAAAAATCACATTACCTCCAAAATTCCAAGGGAAGGGGATCACATTTTGTCTTCCAGCCACTATGCACCATCGTTTTTGGCCACATCCAAAATGTTTAGTCCCGAGCCATCAAAACATTGCCCATCCAATAGAAATAATAGGATCCAACCATTTACACCAGGGATGTCAAACTTGTGGCCCTCAAGCCCGATGCACCACATGCTGGCTATGCGCCCCCCCGCCCCGTTTAGTGAAGGGGGAAAAGTCATGATACATCACGTCACAATGTAATGACGCAAGTTTGATACCCCTAGTTCAGCGGTTCTCAACCTGGGGGTCGCGACCCCTTTGGGGGTCGAACGGCCATTTCCCAGGGGTCGCCAAAGCCCTCTCTCGCCCCCCCTCCCCCCGCCTTCACTCACCCTCTGCCTCTGCTGGATCGCCCGGTCGCAACGAGACAAAATGAGGCAGAGAGGTTTCTTTTTCTTTTTCCTCACCAAAAAAGGTAGGTACAAAACTGAAAACAATGGGAAATTTAGGGCAAGAGGAGGTTTCTTTTTTTCAAAAGAAAAAAAGCTCTATTTAACTAGGGAATTGTAATAATTGAGATACTATTAATTGTATATTGTGTTGAAAGCAGAAATGGTTAAGTTGTGGTTTGGAGGAATATATGGGGGAAATTATTTGGTTTATTATTATTGGTAAATATAATTAATTGATTTGTAAGAAATTGGATTGCATGGAAATAATTGGAATATTCATGTTCATATTGATAAATATACAAAAAAGATAGTTATATAACCAATTGATTTATATTAAAATGTTGAATTTGTATTAAACAACTGTATTACATAATTAACCAATGTGAGGATGGATATAAAAATAGATGACAATGCAAAGGGGTATAATATAGAATAGAAGGGAAAAATTGAATTTGATTAAGATTAGAGATGAGGATGAAGGGTAATATTGTTTTTTTTAAAAAATAGTTGAGGAATAAATATGGTAAAAAGGAAATATAGAAATTGTAAATTTAATTGAAATGACTAAATACTGTGTTGGAAGAAATATCCTTCTGGGTTCTGCTCCAAGTGGGGAAAAAGACACTGGAAACATGGAGACTGTTTGGAAAGATGTTTTAATAGTGGACAGGATCACATGGCTTGATGGGGCCCATTGTGTTAGTTTCTGTTGCTATTGTGTTGCAAATGTCCTTTGACAAAGGATTGACTTTCTGCCTCTGGCCCATTAACAAAGGGGGGGGGGCAGGAAGGTGGGAGCTGCTTTGTCTGTAAAATATATTTCTCCATTTCTCATCCAGGGAAATATAATATTCTGCCTTTTTAATATTTCCCAAAATATTTCATTCTTCTAGGAAAGGGGTGGCTGCTAACCTCCTACAACTGTTTAAATTTGTGGACCGGCCAAATACTCTGTTCAAAGAAAATATGTTGTATGTTTGTATGTGTGTTTCTAATTATTGCTATTTATTCCTATTTGTTCTCTTTTATTCTTTAAAGTTTAACAATTCATTCTTTATCTTAATATCTTTATATTTGTTTGGGGTTGGCTTTCTTCCCTTTCATCTTTTTTATTGTACAGCAATCTTTCTCCTCAAACCTACCACCTCTCTCTTTTCTTTCCTTCTTACTTTCTCTTCCCCCCCTCTTCTTCTTCTCCCTACTTCCTCTTCCTTTCTCCTTCTCCTCCTCTCTTCCTCCCTCTCTTACCTTCACTCCTATTCTAATTTCCCTTCCCTTCCTTCATCCCTCTCTATTGCTGTATCCTTTTATGCATATGCACTACTCAGAGGGCTGAAAAAGTTATTTTTGACTGGTCCTCGCACTTTTGACCAGTCCTCGAACTTACGACTGTCCTCACAATTTACGTTTTTGCCCTATCTTGTCACCATGGTGAAGAGAAGCAGTTGTGAAATGAGTGACATGGTTGTTAAGAATGCTACAATGGGCATAAATGATGACCAATCATAACTGCGAAGACCGGTCAAAAGTGCGAGGACCTGTCAGAAATCACATTTTTCAGCCCTCTGGGTAGTCCTTTTGTGCACAGGGACTACTCAGAGGGCTGAAAAAGTTATTTTTGACTGGTCCTCGCACTTTTGACCAGTCCTCGAATTTACGACTGTCCTCACATTTTACGTTTTTTGCCCTATCTTATACCATGTTGAAGAGAAGCAGTTGTGAAATGAGTGACATGGTTGTTAAGAATGCTGCACAGGCATAAATGTGAGGATGGTCATAAGTGTGAGGACCAGTCAAAAGTGCGAGGACCTGTCAGAAATGACTTTTTTTCAGCCCTCTGAGTAGTCCCTATACACATAGCCATGGCCACCCGGTCACATGACCAGCTAGCCACGCCCACTCGGTCACATGACCTCCAAGCCACGCCAACAAAATAAGCCACGCCCACAGAACCGGTAGTAAAAGAAATTTAGAACCCACCCCTGGTTGGGGGTCACCACAACATGAGGAACTGTATTAAAGGGTCGCGGCATTAGGAAGGTTGAGAACCACTGCCCTAGTTTATACTAACATAACTGTAATTTTATTTACAGTATATTAGTTTACATATAAGAGGGATCTCTTTTTCATTCTTAACCCTTCCAAAATGCATCCCTCAAGTTGCTGAATGTCGAAGACCATTTAAAACAACAAGCCAATAACCCCCACCCCATTCGATTCTTCAAAGCTCTGTATAACAGCAGACTGCTACTATCCTAACCAACTTACCTATACCTTTGTTCTCCAATACTAGCTTGGCTAAAAACTCGGGCAAATCTTCATCAGTAATCATCCGGGTAGGAGAATGTGAGGATTGTCGAAGAGCATCTGAAGGGGATGGAGAAAGAGAAAGGCTGCTCCAGGGGCTACTGTTGTTTTCCAGTCGTGGCAACAAGGAATCTTCAGTATTTCTTTGGAAAGGAAGTGGAGCCCTGTGTCCATCTGGGACCTCCAAGTTCTAAAAGAAAGCATAACCTCTAAGCATAAAGAAGCAGGCAGGAATCAGCAGAGTCCTGGGCAGACCCAGACAACATTTTAAAATATTTAAGGCATTTTATCCCCCTTCTTCCAAAAACATCTCTCTAGCAATTTATATAACATAAATATTGGCAAAAGTATAGTTATAAGCAGGCTTACAGTTACCAATAAAAATTATTTAGGGAGAAGAGAAACCAAATGAAGCTAGCTCCTGTTCCTCTACCATAACTTGATGGAATATAGATATGGTTCAGAAATAATGGTATGAAGGGCTAGAAAACTCAAAGGAGTAACAATAATTTCCCCACATGAAACATATCCCATAGATAGGACTATCCATAATTTAGATTAGATGGCAATAATAGATTTGGGTGCAAGGCAAAGAGTAAGGCGCAGTGATACCATGATGAAATTTGACTAAAATGTGATATGCTTTTATAAGTGAGCAATATCTAAAGCACTCTAATTCAACTTTGTGAAAAAGACAGCAGAAGGTAAAAGAACACATTTATCAATCCTCAACGAGGGTGGCCTAGGTCAATATTTGCTACCAGTACTGAACACAACATTTGAAAAGAGTCAATGATAAGGACAAAATGCCCTACAGGTGTATGTGAAAAAACTCTCCTACTCCCCCACCACCACCGCTTTACTAAGAAATCATTGGAGACTTATTTTTTTTTTCTTTCTCATAGGTACACTGTTATAAGTTCTATTGCAAAACCTCCTTGTTTTGGGGGTATTTATGTGTATCTTTGGAACCCTTTTGTTTTGCTGTTACCAATAAAAGCCCTTGGAGAATTCAATTTTTTTTAAAAAAAGCATTGCCATTGTTAAGAAATCTAGGAGCTGAAATTTACATATTTTATAGTTGCTGAAGTTAGCAAACACTCCTGTAATATAATAGAAACCAGTGGTGGGATTCAGCCAGTTTACACCATTTCTGGAGAACTGGTTGTTAACTTTGTGAGCTGTTTGGCAAACTGGTTGTTAGAAGAAATCATTAGGGCAGAGAACCGGTTGTTAAATTATTTGAATCCCACCACTGAATGTAACTGAATGGAATTCAGGGAAGATATTGGTTGGTTAACAAAGGAACATACTGACTTCTATTAAGAAACTAATAATGGGGTTTAGAACAGATATATCTATTTCTCCAATTACATATACCTTGTAAAAATAAGCCTAGAACCTTAAAATTATTTTTAACTTTGTCTCCCAATCAGGGGCAAGTATTCTCAGGCTGTGATTCAGCTTAGAGTCTCCTTCAGACCTGGGTTTCAACCCATTCCTCCAAAATTCCTTTCTCCCTGCTGAGCTACACAGTGAGATGCCCACAGTTGCTATTTTCTAACTGTCAGTTCTACCCCAGAATCATCACAATGTCCTGCAAAGCAAAACATAATTTGTTCTCAAAAGTGGAGTTTACACATTTGCTCTGTCTGATGGTCTGCCCTGTGAAGAACAGCGCAGTGTACATCTCTATAAAATATATACTTGTACTTCATAGCCAGAAGAAACTTTGATAGCCAGAATTTCCCTTTCCTCATTATACAATTTCAAAGTAGAGAATCCAAATCATGCATGGAAAAGCATGCAGTAGTTTTTGGATAGGAGGAGCTTGGTAATTAAAACTGGCAGTGAAAACTGTGTAAACATCCAGCAAAAAATTGACATGTTCTGAGTTCCAGATAAGGTGACTCTCATATCTCACCCCACCAGCCATAACTCACTCTGAGGAGTTCCTCGTCTCCTTGCTCCTTTACAAATATCTCTTCCAATTCCTGATTGATACTCTCGGAACTGTTGTGCAAAGAAGAGCTTCTCGATACAGTGCTCAAGGCTGGAAAAGATGCAAATGGGGAACCCTACAAACAAGGACATTCAGTGTTGTATCAAGAAACCACTAACACCTTGGTGCAAGCATAGAATGTTCTCCAAGGTGGATGGATAGTACATAATTTAGTGGACTAACACACCCCCACCTATTATAAACATATGAAGTACTTTAAAATTTGGCAATTACTCCACTGATCCCCAATAGTCTGACAGCTGCTCTTATTTCATGATTTAATGGACTACGCTTGCTAATGTCATTCCAATTTTTTGAATTTTCCCAACATGCTGAATTATTATTTACCTGCAGGGATCACATATAGCTAAGCTAATATATGGTTGGCTTTGTGTGGGGCTTTTTGTTTCATGTAACTGTAGCCAATGGTTCCTACAGATGCTGCTCCAGACACTGAGCCTAGGACCATCTGCATATCAATAAGATTCTTACGTTGAGCAATAGACCTTTTTCCTCTAATTGTCAATGAAAATGGTAATTGGGAGACAACTAGGAAATGGACTGATAAAGATATGCCTGATATAATCCTGATGTGTCTAGTTTTGGTGTTAGCAACCTGTGGCTCCAGAGCTGCATGTGGCTCTTTTATCCCTCTGCTGCAGCTCCCTGTCATGGCAGAGGGATGAAAGAGCTGTCACCCTGTCACAACGGTGGCAATGGCTGTAGCCTTAGTGCAGGAGCAAAGTGGCCCTGCACTTGCCTTCATCGCGGTACATTTGCTGTTGCTGCCTCCATGGCCTGCCCATTGCTCTCACAGGGCCTTGTGCAGCAGCGCGCTTCACAATGGGGGAGACTTGGTCCCCTCCTCCTAGAGCCCATTACAACATGGAGCCCCAATGAAATCCTGCGGCGGCAGCCGCTCACTCTTGCCTCCCGGATGTCAGTTGCTTTTCCTGCAGAGCTGTTGTGATGCCCCGCCTCCCTGCCAGCCAACTGGTCTTTGGTTCTCCACAGACCAGCTGATCACTGGCACGCTGCTTCTGGGCTCGTTGGTCTCCGGCGTCAGATTCCCACCACCCAGCACCAGTTCAGGGGCTCTTCCCCCTCCCCCCAGGGAAAGAGGGGGGAGGGAGGGAAAGAGAGAGAGAGGGAGGGAAAGAGAGAGATAGAGGGGGAAAGAGAGAGGCAAAGAGAGAGAGAGAGAGGGAGGGAGAGGAACAGAGAGATTGGGAGAGGGATAGAAAGATGGAGAGGGAGAGAGAGAGATGTTGTGTATTTTAAGGGTGGATGTGTCCCTAAAAGTCCTGAAAATAGTTTTGCCATTTTGCTCATCAACTCATTGAGAGAAAGAGGGGGAGAGAGAGAGGGAAGGAAAGGGAAAGAGACAGAAAGAGAGAAAAAGAGGGAGGGAGGGAAAGAGAGAGAGAGAGAGAGAGAGAGAGAGATAAACACCATTTTTATAGAACTATAAATATGTTGAGGCCTTTGAGGTGAGCAGCCGGGAAGTGAGGCCAGGTGTGACAAGAAGTGGCTGGGAGGGGAGCGATTAGGCGGGGCTGGGCGTTTAACAGCTGGTTCTCTGCCCTAATGACCGGCTGCGTAGGCATGGCTGGGGGGGTCATGTGACTGACTGGGAATGGTTGATGTCAAGTTGGCCACGCCCATCCAGGTTTTGTGGCTCCCGGTGTTTTCTTTTCTGTGGGAAATGGGTCCAAATGGTTCTTTGAGTGTTTAAGGTTGCAGACCCCTGGTCTAGTTCATGCTGCATCTTAACTATGAACTCTAGTGGATCTTTTAAAAAGTAATGCACAATTTCAATATACAATGCCAATATAGTAACAGCCATATTCCTTATATTGTGCCTTAAATTGAAGGAAAATAATTGCTCCAGCTTCCCTATACAAGCCATTGAGAATTGAATACTTTACTTTAGAAAAAAAAATTCTTAATAAAACTTTCTTTCCCTCAGTCCAAGAGAGTTTCTGTTTCCTGCCATTTTCTAATAGGAACATTAAAGAAAAGATACAAAAGAAGAAGAAGATACCTTGGTTGATGGGACCATGCTATGCTTGCCTTGAGGGAAAAAGCTCTGGTCTTTCTCTTTGCTATTCCAAACAGCAAGCTTTGTTCGCTGGAGCTGTTGCTTCAGTTTAGCAATCTAGAGAATGAAAAGTTACTAGTCTTAAGTAGAGTAATGGATAAGGTTTGTTTTAAATTTATTTTTATCCCACCTTTATTATTTTTATAAGTAATTCAAGGTTGCAGACATACCTAATACTCCTTCTTTATCCCATTTTCTCCTTAATAACAACCTTGTAAGTTGAGTTGGGCTGAGACAGAGTAACTGGCCCAAAGACACCCAGCCAACTTTCATGTCTAAAGCAGGACTAGAACTCATGGACTCCCAGTTTCTAGTTTGGTGTCTTAATCAGTAGACCAAACAAATTAATAAACTGAGATGCAGCCCCCAAAAGATAGATGTATTGATGGTGGGCAATTCATCTGTTCATTTAAATGGTGTCCAGGCAGTTCTGGAGCACTGCACTCTCTCTGATCAATTGCATAGAGAAGGGATACAGACATTTCAGGACTTCCTAGTTTTACTGAGCTCCATCATTACTATCTCAGGAATTCTTACTTCTTTGAGAAATGCTACTGATTTATTATGGCTTAAAGTATTTTTTTTTAAATTTTTATTATGTATTTGGTTTTCGTAAGGCCTTGAAAACTATGGTAGACAAAAACAAGTGTCCCAGCATTTGTTAGGTAATAGACAAACAAACAAAAATAAATATATGCAAATAAGGTTAACAGAGCATAGGAAATCTAATGTTTTAATTTTTTTAAATCTTGCAAACAAATTCCATCTCTGAATCCTTGTTCCAAAGTGTCATCAGTTCTGATTTTTTAAAATATTCTCTTTTAAAGAGTGATCATAAAGTGCACTTATACACTCCTACAATTAGCTTAACATTCAGTGTTGTGAATAGAACACTGAATGTTGTTGTGAATAGTGTGAATAAAATATATGATTTTTAAAATAAAATAAAATAAAAATAAAATAAAATAAACCTACCTGCCTAAACCTACCTGCAGAGTAACCATTCTTGTTTTCCAGAAAACAATAGAAAATAATGCCGCTAAAACAAGAAGTACTCTGGCAATTTAATCCCTTTTGCACATTACATAGCGGTAAGATAAATGGCACTTGACATACCAAGTGATCATCTTACCTCTCTACGATGATCCATATTATTCCATGAGGCAGATCGCTTATGATCTGCAACTTTTCCCACCTCTGACTCATGCCAAGATACTGGAGTCTGCAAAGAGGGAGGAAGGGACGAGCTATCAATATCGGATCAACATTTGGAAATTCCAATGTGGCAATCTTCTTCCTAAGAGCTATTCTGAAAGAATACTAATAATGAAATAATTCTAAAAGTACAGAATCAAAAATATGAATCTCTTCTCTGTACAGAAAAAAAACTCAAAGATTTCATAACTTTTCCTTCAAGAAAATAATCCTAGAACTGATTTTAGGGAAGATAATTACTTGAAGCACTGATATCCAGAAAGAACTGGTTCCATCAGCACTTCATTCCTTAAGTGTTCTAAAATTATGTCTTATTGGGCACCATAGCAAAAAGGCTGGATATTTCATGCTCTCTCAGATGTGTGGATTTCAACTCCCAGAATTTCCCAGCCAGCCAATTAGGATATTCTAGTCATATTGGCTAGGAATTCTGGGAACTGGTCCTAGCATATCTAAAGAGTACTAAGATTGAGAAAAGCTACACTAAATAAACAACATTGCATGTATATGAGCCCAAATATATTTCACATCCCACCCAATTTTTGAAGGTACATCAAATTTTCCATACTTTGTGATAGGTAGTCATTCTTGGACCCAGAGATGAGAGATTACATGGAGTAAGAAAGCTCACATAAACTCAGGCCTCAATGGCAGTCTCAATGTAAGGACAGCCTTCCTCTTTGGGATCTTGATTGGAAAATCATGGAGTTGAACTCCAAAATGTTTGGAGACAACCAGACTGAGGATGGCTGATATAAGAAGAACACTGTTTGAAGTACTCACTGCACTGAAGGGTGACAGTGACACTGGTAATTATTATTCATTATCACTAATTATCTGCAAGACTTCTGTAAGAAAATATACACTAGATTCCATTAAGCAGGTTTGCCCTTTGCTGCAACTGATGTCAAGTAGTTTGCCATGCAATTATGCTAACAGGTACATTCAGTGCCGAATGTTGGATTGCACAGAAGTGAAGATAATTATAATATTGAAAAGTCAGAGTACTTCCAGGTAAAGTACTTGCCAGCTTAGGCAGTCTATACTCCCCATTTACAATCTAAACTAAGGGACAAATGTTCTACCAACAATATAGGAGATTGAGCTGAGGGAAAAACATTTGTATTTCCTTGTTTCTAAGTATATATTACTCACCACAATTAAGTATCAAGATTTTCTCTATATCTTTTGGTTCTCTTCACTTTGATTCTCTAATTTCACAACTACCAGAAGTAATTTTAAGAGGATTCATTTTGTACCCCAAGTTTCTACTAGGCAAGCTGCCAAAAGATCATAAGGGGCCTATGCAACACACAAAATTGATCTTCAACAGAGTACTTGTTATAAAATAGAAGGCTAGCAGCTACTTCTACAAACAGCTATGTTGAAGAACCTTGCAGAGACAATGGATGGCATAGCCTCAACAGCTGAGCAACTATAAAAGTTTAGGAGCCAAGGAACAACATTCCCAAGGAAAAGGCTTAGCAAAAATAAGGAGAAGAGCTGTGCAGAGGAGTTGCAGGCAAGTGCTAAATACTGTTTGCAAAGGTCCCTCCTCTGCTAGAAATATTCCTCTGCTAGAAATGTTGTGTGAAAAGTGGCCTTCTTTTTATTTAGCAAGCATTTTGGGGCAGGAGCACATAACCAGCCACACCTAAATATCACCATGGCTGTGATTCTAGTGAATTGAAAAAAAAAAGTCATTAGCCAATTGTCAGCCAAGGTAGACAATTCCACCAAAACAAACAAGGGATGGAGGCTCATACCAGGCTATAGAAGGGTGATTTTTTTTAAAAAAAAAAGCTCTGGCCATGATGCTAAGCACAAATCTCTGCCTCAGATGAGTGTGGGACAGCTTCCTGACCCAGTGACTAGCTTTCAAGCTACTGAGCTAGCCTCCAAGAGGAAAACATACACCATGCTACAGAAGATAGGCCAGTTGTATTTGAAGTTTATTTTTCTGTTTCTATGAATGCAAAGATGGAATCCTCAAGAACAGCCAGTTCCCCATCTATTCCTCTACCCTAGGCTTCCTTGAGAAAAAAGTCTGAGAACAAAAACAGTATCTCTATGCTGAGTTTATCCAAGGCTTTAAAAAGCAACCTCAGTTCAGTTCAACCTTATTTCACTACCGGTATAAATTTATCTGGAATACGTATCTTAATTAAAGACTAAGTTGAACTGGTGGAAGTCTTATCTGAACTGGTGTAGGAGAGTGCATAATGGGGTACAAAACTGTTTCTGTATTAAAATCCATACTTGACCTTTGAATGCATCTGATGCTAAAAATGTACTGGATGGAGCCAGAAAATAAACCTTAATATTTATGTATATATTTTTTGTTTTATCATAAAAGGTAAAATACAAAACAGAAAAACGAACAAATAAAACAAAAGCATACGTCCAGAACTAACAACAACAAAAATTGGTGCACGAAAAAAGAAATAGAAAAAAAGGTGATCCAAATACGAACTAAATTTAATTTTTAACACAAAGAATCTACCCTGACTGGATGCTGAAAAAAAGGAAAAAACAATAAATTAATCCCTTTTACAAATACACACACACACACACACACACACACACACACACACACGTAAGAGCAGTCAACAGGTTAAGCTGAACATTACATAATCTTCAAATCCCTGTGTTAGCAATCTGTTATTTTTTTTGGCACATAAAAAGTCCACAAACGGTTTCCAGTCTCTTATGAAGCTGCCTAGTCCATGATCTCCGATCAAGGCAGTTGATATCGCCATCTCTGCTAATTCAATCAATTTTAAATTTATTCTTCAACAAGAAGAATGTCTTGTTCTTCAACATTCTTCAACAGTCAGCATCCCTTTTTCTTTCCAGTGCTTGGGAAGTACAATCCTCACAAACCTTAATATTAATTTACAATATAACTTTAACAAATGTTATTACTTCCCAGTATGAGGAAGTGTTTAGGTTAGGCTTGGGGCATCGAATTCTGCAGTTCTGCTTTTAAAGTACATTACACAAATTTCCCTCCTTCTGGTTTATTTAAGATGCATGGGGATTTATCCCATTCTGTCCCTGCCCTGCGCCTCCAGCCATAAGACACAGTCTAATCAACTGCAAATGTGCGTTTCAATACTGTTTGGTAAAACTGGCAACAAAGAGACAACCTTACTTTCAACCCTCCTCGTGCTCAGGCAGCCTATTAAGAGAAAGGAGCCAAATGCAATGCTCTGCCTTCTTAAGAACTGGTGTAGGAGGGGAAAAGAAAATGTTTTATTGATTAGAGCTTTGGAAACTCAAAAGTCTATAATAACTTTAAAAGGCATCACATAAAGTCACTGCATTCAACAAGTCCAGACTCAGTAAATTTCCTGCTGGGGTTAAGAAATCTTGGTCCCTCCTTGGCTTTAGGAAAGCTGTAAAGATTTACTTGTTCTGTCTTGCAAAGATGGAGACAGTGTTATCCCTGGAGGTGGGGTTCATGGGCATACAACTTTTATCCTTTCTGATTTAAAATATTTTTGGTTTTTTATTTTTGAATAAAACAAGGAAGCATGTAAGTACAACAAATAAATAATAAATCTTAACTATGGAACTACTGAAAAAAAACAATATGGGGACTGCCCAGCAGTCCAAACTGCTCCAGTCATGCCAATAGCAAGCCAGTAATTAACTTGAGTGATAGATTTACTGTTTGTCACATCAGTCTCAGCAGGCAGCAAGGCACAAGCTGTGTCTACTCTCAAACAGAATGGAGATAGAGATAGAGATAGAGATAGAGAATAGAATAGAATAGAATAGAATAGAATAGAATAGAATAGAATAGAATAGAATAGAATAGAATAGAATAGAATAGAATATTCTTTATTGGTCAAGTGTGATTGGACACAAGGAATTTGCTCCGGTGCATAAACTCCCAGTGTACATACAAACAGCAAAACAATATGATCATAAGATACCAATAGGAGAAGGTAATAGGAAAGCTGAGAAGGAAAGCAGTAATATAGCCCTACTACATGGGCAAATATTCTTAGACATAAAAAGATCTAGTTAGGAAGCAATGAGTATAGAGGAATTCCATTCAGAAGGTTCAACTTCTGCCTTAGGGCAGTCTGACTTTAAATAGCATATCTCACTTTCTATGGTGGAATAAAAAATTTCAAAAATTATTATGCTAATGGTGGTCAAAATAGCTTCCACATCAAGGAAAGAGGAGGAAACTGTTTTGAGAAGCAATCAAGACTGAAAACCACAAGGACAGATAATCTGCAGGAAAGGCATAACTCAAAAGCCTTATCCCCAAAGTTTTAAAATATTTTGCATGATTACAATAGATAGCAAGCTACACGCGGCATTTGCGAAATGTGCAGAGAAAGGAATCTTATGGGAACCTTTTTGTTATAACTGTTTGTGTGAGTTGTATGCATGCAGTCAAACCATTATTTTGTTCATAAGGGAAATATGTATTATATATATGAACTAGCTTTCTTCATTTAAACTATTGATCGTTACATAACTTAATTCCAGGCTATGTATTGGATTCCAGAAGATCCATCCTGTTGGATCCATCCATGAAGATACACACTGAATTCCTTCTTGGCAGACCAAGGTGGGGATGGACCCAGAAACAGACCTTTTCACAGCTGACAGCTGACCTTCCTATGGAATTATTCTGCCCCATGAAGTCTATACATCTTTATTTTTTTGTAAAGCAACAAAGATCTTAGAAAAGAATGTCCAGATAAAGCATAGTTACTTGTTTTATGTTATTACTGTAATGTAATAGCACTTATTCTTTATGAGTATTTTGTTTAGATGTTAGCCATCTATAGTTGAGCAAAATGTATTAGTAAATAAATAACATTCTGGTGCCTTGTAACAGCAGTGCTCGATTTCAATTTCAAAAATCCCCACTCGGTAGGGGCAATGCTATCTGGAGACTATAAAAGTTAAAACCCAATGGATTTGAAACTTATCCGAGAACAAAGACTTCTAGCCAGGACTGCAGCTCAACCAAAGCTAACTAATAACCCAACTATCTCTACCTAATTTTTTAAAAAATTATTATAATAATTCCTAGTTGCAGCTGATCACCATACAATAGTGGCTTCATTTATCATATAAAGGGAGAATTTGCTGCAAATAAGTCATTTTGCACATTTTTGTTTATTAAATGTATTAATTTATGAAACTTATGTCACCAATATCACTAATGACGACTCTGGGCAGTTTACAAATTTCATAAAACAGAAGTATAAACATTTAAACATTCAATATTAAATAAACCAAAATTAGGTAAATTAAAGATCAGAAAACTATGGAATGAGATGGGATTTTCTTCCTAGTCCACTAATCACCTCCAACATGGAACGAACAACCACTGGGGCCCCAGGCCCACTGGCAGAGTTAGATCTTGAGGCTCTTATGGAAGACCAAGAGGGTGGGGTGGATTTCATCTCCAAGGGGATAGTGTTCCAGAAGGTGAAAGCCATACAGAAAAGCATATATATATATATATATAGCATAATTATCAATTTACAAGTCTATGGTATCTTTTCGGCGGACATGGAGTGACAATTCTCTTGCTTTCATATCCTGATTTACAATAGTTTTGCAAGTATATCCTAATACATAGTAGAATACTGACATGGACTTTAAGGAAAAAAAAAACAATTATTGCTTACACATCTTAGCACTTGGGCACAGGACACATTGAACGATCAGAAGTATAATCTTTGGTCTCTGAGAATCGGCATAAGAAAATAAGTTCAGCTACAGTATTCAATATACTTTAGTTGACCATGAATGGATGATCTTTTGGTGACAAGAGGCCAATGGATCCCAATAAGCAAAATAGTTTTGTAAAATAAATGAAACAATTACAGATTTTCTTCCTAGGGTTCTGAGGGAGGGGGAATGACTTGATGGGTTTTCTTCATTATTTAAAAAAAAAAAAAAAATTAAATATGTTGGAAATGTAAAAATTCCCAAGGAACATATTACCATCTATGGTGGACGTGCCTGGCAGCAAAAATTTTTTGGGCGAACATCAAGAAATGGATAGAACAAATAACAGATCAACAAATAGAAAGGAAACCAGAAACATTTTTTTAGGAATCTTCACAAGACCATATTCCAAAGAAATAAAATACTTGATGCTACACATCTTAACAGCAGCACGAATAGTATATGCAAAAAATTGGAAAGAGGAAAGAACTCAAAATGAGGAAGAATTGATAGATAAGATTTTAGAATGTGCTGAAATGGACAGATTAACAAAAGAAATTAAAGAAAAAGAAGAGACAGACTATTATAGAATATGGAATAAATGGTATAAATGGCTTAAGACTAGAAATAAAGAATAAAGATTATTAGGAGAGAAGAGTACAACTATAAAATATATAAATAACAAATGTATGGAGTGAAATAAAAATGTATATAACAAGAATGTAGAAATGTATAATATTAAAGATATAAGTAAAATATATAGATCTTTACAGCGGGGAAGAAAAAAAAAGACAATGGGGGAAAAAAAGAGGAATGAAATGAAGACATAGAGGGAAAAAGACAAAATAACAGAAGGAAGACCATGATGAAACGATGCTTAAAAATGATAAGATATTTATATACTGTATGTTATGTGAATGTCATATATGTGTAATAAAATTACAAATTTTAAAATTAAAAAAATTAAATATGTTTCAAGGCATTCATTACTATTTCTGTTTGTTTCCTATCTCAAAATGCAAGACAGCATACTACTTCTTTTCAGTGTTAGGCAACGAAAATAGCTCCAAGGGCTGCAAAAAAAAAAAAAAAAAGGAACCTAGGGTTAAAGAAGTTTGCTACTCCTAACTCTGAAATAAATTGAGGATACTTGCCAATTTGGCTTGCTTGCCTACTAATCTAATTATTATATTTTATTTTACAATATTTTATTGTAAAATATTAAAGATTAACCTAATATGGTACACACTTTTATGGTTTGATTTTATTTGTGAAATAATGTACCAATAAAGCCGGTTCTAGTTCATAATCTATTTTTAAAGGTCCCATAAATTCTTGCTTTTGTTGCAAAAGATACGGCTATTAAGGAAGACAGGGAATTTACCTAATTATCAAAATTAGGTAAAGAATGGTAAGTACTGAGCAACAATATCGTTTTAGATTTCATACTTTTCACAAAGCATGTCTTTACAATTTTAGCCATGTAGATTACAATGTTTATTTCTCATGTCAGATAAAAGTTAGGGTTCCTAGGACACCTAACCCATGCCAGAAACCACATTTCTGTAGTTGTGTAACACATACTGCAGAGCTGAATACTAGGAACTCAAGCAATGACCAGGGACAATCATCACTAGGAGATGAAGGGAAACATCTCCTGAACTTGGCACTGCATGTGTTTGCTAGGTGGAACATAGCCTGACTGGAGATAGAATTGTACTGGATTTGGAAACTACTGAAGAGGTGTGTCTAAATTAGGGACAAGTAGAAGGGTTGATACAAGGTCAAAAGGTTGATTTTTGAATTTGCAACCTCTCTTCCTTTGAGCCTTTTCAATTAAAATTAGGCATTCTGATTGAAAGTCTGCATTGAAACACGTAATGATCACCTCTGATTTTTAAGGAGCCAAATTAGATAGCAAGTTTAATGACAGACAATATTTAGCTCTCTTGATTTCCAATTCTTCACTCTTTTGATATCTGTTACCATATCTGATCCTTCTGTAAACTGAAGGATAGACCCAGTACCTGAGTAGATTTGTCACTCATATGTGACATGGGAAGTCCTTCGGCATCTCGAGGCCACTGGCCCATAAGGTATGAACCAAGGATGGTATCTAATGATGATGTGTGCTGTGCTCTTGGAGGTCTGTTCCGGGAGGCCTTTTCAGGACCAGCAGTACATGGAACACTAGCTAGACAACAACAAGAAAAAAAAAAGAGTGAATGGATTTGCTACAAAATGCAAGCAAGCACCACTTCTGTCAAAGTGCTTTCAGCAACTGCTTTCACATTCCTTCTCACATCTACTCTCAATTATTATTCTAGACCTTGAGGCTTCCTACACTGCCAGTGGAAATAGCTTTCCATCCCACACTCTAGACCACTGTTGCAAATACCCTCTTCCCCAGCACAATGTGATATGGGTGGGGGAAAAACACATACAACTCTTAAAACCAAAGTGGTTGCCACACACTTTAGAGGCATGCTTAAAAAATGGTTCTTCGGAAACAAATGACACAGTATTAGCTTGGCTATTTTTTAAAATTGATTTTACTAGTTTTTTCTGTAGCCAAATATCTTTAATCGAACATCATAAGTTCCAAGCTTTAGTTTTATGGAAAGACATAAATAACATTTAAAAGAAAAAGAAAAACCTAACAGTGGGGTGAGAAGACAGAAAACAAATAACGTCTTAGCAAAAACAGCCAGCAGCATTTTTTTCCCTTTTTCCAGACTTAGGTAAGTCAATATAAACGGCTACCTTCTCCTTTTAAAATATACATCAACAGCAAGCAGAGACAAAAAACTGAATATGAAGTTTATGCAAAAGGTTAAACAAGTAAAATAATTCAAATAAAGTTTCCTGAGCCTAGCAATCCAAATTCAAGGCTTGGAGTATGAAGGTATCAATAAATTAGCTTACCCGGTGGCCTTGGGCAACTCATGCCTTCTCACTGTTGAATCTTCCCCAGAGGAGTGAAGATGAAATATGAGACAAGTTGTGGTAACACTCAGCCCTTGGGATAGAAATCTAATTGCATCTAAATATATTCATTTCCCAACTGCTTCTCTAGTCAACAAGAATGCAATTTCCTCCCTTATTTTTAGGTTGGGCCTGCTGATTATCTCTCCTCCCTTATTACTGTTTTGCAAAGCCTAGTAACTTTAGACATTTTTCAAAAAAATTACTATTTCCTTAGTAATATTAGTGGAAGACCATTTTATACATTGTTCGTAGTATCAAAGGCTACAGCCACATTTATCAGCGGTCATGCACAGCAAAATATTCCATTTCCCTTTAGAGACATCAACATTTTTATGGGAGCTAAAGAATTTATTTCCTGAAAAGAGATTTGCAGCTGTGCAAAGACCACAACTCCCTTTTTCTTGAATCAGTAATTATACTAGCAAGCACCTGAAGGCAGGATAAGAAGGAATGGACGCAACATACGAAGAAAAGATCCAACCTAAAAATAAGGAGAAATTTCCTGACAGTGAGGACAATTAATCAGTGGAATGGTTTGCCTTCAGAAATTGTGGATACTTCTGGAGATTTTTAAGAAGGAATTGGACAACAGTTTGTCTGAAATTATAGCATTTCATGCTTGAACACGGGGTTGGACTAGAAGACCTTCAAGATCGCTTCCAACTCTATTACTCTACTCTACTCTACTCTACTCTACTCTACTCTACTCTACTCTACTCTACTCTACTCTACTCACAAAGAATGCAGGGTTGGGGAAAGTTGAAGTAAGATACAAGAACCAATAGGGAATCTGGCTATCCCAAACCATTATTTAGAAAAGACAAAAGGAAACTTACAGCTTTCTATATGTTGCAGAATTACCACTCACTAAGAAGTTCACCCTTCTTTAAATATTTCAAACACAAAAAAACACATAGTTCTGTAAATAAAAATGTTAGTAGCATTGCCCATCTACACAATATTGTGATGCCTACCATTTTCTTGTCCTGAGAAGAGAATGCTTTCATCTTCACAATACACAGTTTTTCTCACCCTATATCTAAAAGCCTTATTGGAAAGAGCCAGGGGTTTTTTGTTTGGTTTTCTGTTGTTTCATTTTGAATCTCCCAAAATTTATGAGAAGATAATATTTAACATATATCAGCAAAAAGCTGACACCAGCATGAATTACGAGGACAAATTGTTTTCAAAAAGCTGTTTGCCTCCTGAGTTAACCTCTTTACATTAATTTTATGAATTATATTAGCACTTAACAAGCCTTCATCCATCTATCAGTAAAGCTGACAGCATTCTGCTTTCACGTAACATGGGCCATTATGAACTATGTCCTACGGAAGGAAAATCTGCACAAAGACATCCACTGATTCTGATAAGGGACCTGTAAAGCCAAGATTTCCTGGCTCCCAGCTACTGCATTTAAGTAGAAAAAAAATGCCAACTAAAGCCCCAGACAGGGGTTTGTTTGCTTTTCATTTACACATAAATTAATATGCACTCTTAAGTAAAGCAGGGATCTCCTGGTCTGCTGCCAAGAAGATCTCTGGCAGCTCCTGTTCAGAGCTCAACTCACAACAGTTCAGCAGCTATTTAAGGCCTTTTCTGACTGGCTGTTGACCTCACATCAGGGTCTATTTGAGGCACATGCATTCAACTTCAGTAGGATATGCCTGAATATAAGGCTTGCTTCTAGCATTCCTTCTTCAACCTAAAAATTCTGACCCAAAGGCAATCTTTCTTCATAGTGAAGAAATCTACAGTTCCCCTTCTCAGTAGCTTAGGACTGACAAATAAGTCAATGATTGGAACTGCTTGTGGTAGATATCTGGGAAACAGGGGCTGCTAGCAGAACTGGAAAGATAACAGATCCGCAGCTGATCTGAAGCGCTTTCCTGTCCCAATCAAAGCAGCACTACCTAAAAATACACCCGAGACTGCAAAACAATGCCTACTTCAAGAAAAAGATGGCTTGTGAGAAAAGCAGTGGCAGGGTGGAGTGTCCTGTTTACAGGGCTGCTCTATTATCAATTTAGTCCATTAGGCTAGGACCAGACCAGCCCCACCTGGCTGCACTCTCTGGGATTAGTCCAAGCTCTGTATGCCAGTTAAGCATCTCCAATCAGGGCTGTGTCGAAAATGTAGGGAGTCAAGGCAGAAGAACATTTTGATAATAAAAACTATTATTATCTCAACCTACCAGTCTGGTAGCTGCCTTACATCTGTTTCTCCATATGGGACTTCTTCTTTCTCCATTCCCTTATTTTATTTCACATGCATGTGGAAATTATTAGCATAAGAGAGTGAAAAATTGTGCCCCATCTTCCCTAACTATTTCACTGCATCTACTCTTAGTAATATTGGCAATAACTCCTTTCCAATTCCTGTGACTTTAGGATACACAAGAGGATCAGAGTGACAGCATTTACCTGAAATTCTGTAGGCTAATCACACATGTGAAACCCCACGAGACAGAAGCTGTTCCTACATTCATTTCTACAGGTAGTCCTCCACTTATAACCATTCATTCATTAAGGGTTTCAAATTACAATGGCATTGAACAAAGGGACTTATGACCAGTCCCTGAAGTTATGGCCATTGCAGCGTCCCCGCAATCACCAGATCAAAATTTGTGCACTTGACAGGGATGTTTCAACTCTCCTCATCCGCCTATCTCTCCTCCCATGGCATCTCTGCAGTCCCTGCTACCCTAACTTCATCATCATTTCCCCATTGCTAACCATGCTTGTCCAGCCTGGTCCTCCACCAGGCAACTGCTGGCTATATGAGGCTTTCTTCCCCAGGTCATGCAAGGTGGTTTCCTCATAAGATGATCTCATGTGGGCAGAGAGATGTATAGGCCACACTAGGCAGTGTGGACCCTGAGTCGTAGTCTTTTTCTAGCCTTCCTCCAGTTGCAAGAATGCACGTATGCATCCTGGATTCTCTTCCCCTGGTCTCCCTGTGCCTACAGCCCCACCCATCCACCCCCACATCCTCTTCCTCTAACATCCTCAAGCTTGTACCACTCTGCAGCACCCCAATTTGTGTGTGATCTTAACTGGACTTCCCAGGGCTCCCCCCTCCACATCCCCTTGCAGCACTCCCACGCGCCTTATCTAGGATTCACTCTGCTTCCCATTTAACCACCTCCAGACATGTGGCATGTCTGGAGTTACAATACCAAATGGGACTGTTGGGATTGTGATCATGTGATGTTGTATTGTGCTTTACAATAGCATCACTTAGTGAAAGAAATTCCAGGCCTAATTGTAGTCCTAAATTGCAACTATCAATATATTTCACTTCTGCCCTACTTATCCTGCTAGCACAGCAAATATTTAAGTTTGTCTCTTTCATTCAGTTTTGTCTCCCTGATGAAAAGAAATTGTCTTTGTACAACTTGTGTGTTTATTTTTGGTTCAACATGTTGGCAGAACCCTGCTAGGTAAGCAATGTTCGATACATCATAGTTAAATCTTCCAGAGTTTTTGGCACTACGTGTAAACTCAGTTTTGGGGCCTATCCATTTAGAGGAAACTAAAAGCATGAAGGAACTGATGCTTTTGCAAATATTCACAACAAAGCTGATACAAGAAATAGACTCGAAGTAATGGAACATTTGGGTTCAGATAACATCTTATATTACATGTAAACTATATTAGATAAATTGCATTCAAATGAAACCATCTTCATAAAGTCCATTAGTAACATCCATAAGAAGTAGTAAAACCTGCTGAATATTTTTTCCATCTATACCGTCTGCAACTTTTGGATAATCCGACAATGCTTTTTTTTTGTGGTCTACCTTTAGATAACTGTGGCTTGCAATTCTGAAGTGTTATAATTGTGATCATCACAAAAAAAGGTGCAAATATTATAACAACCAACCAAAAGTCATAAAATAGGCAGCAGGATAAATGGTTTCAGTAAAACTATATTAAGCAGATCACAAGCGCTAATACATAAGCAACCACAGTTATTAGCAATCTAAGGGAAACTGCTGCCAAGTATAGTATATGAAAGGGCAAATGGTTCTCCTACATAGTTTCATAATATATGAAACTACAAGACACACCAAAACCTGCTTTTTAACAATTAAGCAGAATAAAACAGCTACCATGAGAGTTCATGTTTGAGCTATAAAATAGGATTAAAAACATCAACTGAAGACTTACGACTTATACTGGAAGCCACAAAACTTTTTTTTCTACAGTACAACTCTAAGTTTCTTTCAGCTTCCAGAATCTGTTGCAGCTCCAAGGTCAAGTTTACAGGCTTCTTTTGGAACTGTGATGCATTACAATGCAGGAACAGCCCAGAAAGATTGTTAACAGAGTCAGCACAATGTAGTGATTATGATGCTAGACTAGGGCCACTGAAATTGAGGTCCAAATCCATAGTCAGCTATGGAAATTCACCAGTTGCCCTGGGCCTGCTGCTCTCTCTCAGTCCAAATGCACAGGGAGTTGCTCTGAAGGTGAAATTAAGGATATTATTAGGGCTAGGAAAAAAAAAATTAAAGAAAATTTTGTTTTGACAAAACTTTGAATGAAGCACACTCTCAAAGATGCCTCTACCATGGTCATCTCCTTTCTAAGACCAAAACAAAATGTCCATACTGCTGTCCTCTGGTCTGCTTTGTAGCCTCTCCCAGTCTTTTCTGTATGACAGGAAAAGGCTCAAAAGAGAACCAAGGAGAATTCCATAGGGTATTGCAAGAGGGTATTGCAAGTACTATCTAATATAAAGCTCCCCTTGGTACAACCAAGTGACTCCCCAAGCTGGGTAGCAGAAACCCCACAGCACACAGCAGTGGGGGAACCTCAGGCTTACTGCCTCCCACCTGATGGAAGTCATCAGTATAGAAAATTGCACCATTCACCTCTCCCATATGCTGGTCAGCTGCCAAGCAGTTGAAGAGTCTGAAAGGGAGGAGATGAATTGTACAAAAGGGCCAAGAGTCTTTTGGGGAACGCTGAAGGAGAACACTAAGAATACTACCAGATTAGTTGCTGACAAGATCTACAACTGCACCAGGAAAAACATGAGCAGCAGCCAAAGATAGGAAGGGGCAGGGAACATAGTGGAAGCTCAGAGGGAGATCAGGTTTATTTCAGAACGACCAACAAATAACAAGCCTTTGCATAAGCAGATGAAGATGCAGTAGCCAGTTAATTGTGAAGATAACTACTATTCCTATTCCTGAATCTGGTCTCTTTATTCCAGTGATATGTAAGTCCTATTACCTATATATCTACGAGCACAAGAATAGTCCAGCTTATATTGCAGAACCATTTTTTTTTTGCCTTAAAGCTTCTTTGCTAATGACAAGAGAATAGTTAAATATTTGTTTGCAATATAAGCTTCTATTCCATTAGCTTCACTCTGTTTTACCTACCCACACTGATGCAGAGTGGAATTTTGTCCTTCAGCATTGAAACATTTTCATGTTGCCAAGACTACACCCAGTCGGCACCATTTATCAGCCCCTCCACCTCCAAAGTGAGCCAACCTGCCTTATACTTTCCAAACCAAAGCAAAAGGTTTTACTCTCTCCAAGCAAGCAGCACCTAGGCAGCAAGGGAACTATTTGGCAGAGAGTTTCCAATGAAAAATCCCCAGCTACGGCCCGATGAGTCATCTCACTGCTTCACAGCAAGTTCCTGAAGAATAGACTAACTAAGCTGTAACTAGGGAGTGTGGTAGAAATCCTCCTCTGCCTCGGTTAAACTGCTGCCAATGACTTGCTGAGTTCTTTAATTCTAGAGTTCACTCTATTCCATAACCTATTTTCTTAAATGTATTGGCAGGCAAGAATCCTTAATTTTTGCTTTTTCATAAATTGTGAAAATGGTCATGTCAGTAATAAGCAGTCTAGCCAGAGTTTCCATTTTTTGCTGCCAGGAATGCAGGATGTCAGTGAAGAGGAAAGGCAACAAATAAAAACAATATAAAAACTATGAGGTTCAAACAGGCAAGAAATAGAGCAAGGAACACCCCCTGATTGAGGAACCCACCCACCCACCCCCTCCCCCACCCCACACCCAACCCATTATCCATCCCAGGGTTTGAAAGTACCTCTCCAATATTATCTTTTTCCCTGCAGTCATAGTGAGATCTCTTCTGGAGTAAACAGATCATGTGTTAGAACCAGAAAAAGATTGTGGAGAATCCTAACCACTGATGTTTATCTATTATTTATTTGCATCCTGCATTTATTTTTTACAAATAAGCTGGTGAACATATCCAACATATATCCCTCCTTCTATTTTCCCCACAACAACAACCCTGTGAGGTGAGGTGGGTTGGGCTGAGAGTGTGTGATTGGCTCAAAGTCACTCTGTTAGCTTTTGTGGTTTTCACAGCTTGTAGAAAGAATTAGCTGGTATCTTGCACAGCCCCAGTTTTAGTCAATTTAAACGATGTAGTTTTCAATCTGGCAGGAAAACAAGTTGCTCGCTGAAAATAAAGTCTTCATTAACTATAACATGATGATGTACCAAAAGTCAAGCATGCAACCTTATTGGTTCCTTAAGCACCACTGTGTGCATGTTTTGCTTCTCAGAATCCAAAAGCATCAGCAACATGCAATTACCACCTCCAGGTGCCTGTGCAATTATCTTCCATTTGATATCTATAAGGTAAGAAAGCAGCCTTGCTCTCCATATAAAGGACTGAAAGAATAACACATTATAACATATAGGCTAAAACATGGTTACCTAATTATGAGCAATCAGTATTCTGTGATGCCAGTGAATAAAGTTATTTTATGGTTAAATATTTTATGCAAATTTAGATAACTATGCTAATGTGATAAAACATAGTTATACTATCTAGAGTATTATAAGTTCTTCAGATAAGAGATCAACATGCATGTTTGGCAGATGAGTTTTTCAGGTGAAAAAAAAAGCATAGCTTTAACAGAAATGAGGCAACATATGAAAGTAGCATCTCTAGATAACAGAGCTGGCTCAGTTCTTTTCCTTAGTCATTGGGAGTTAGCATCTATATTGTGCTGCACTAATCCCACATATGGAAGCAAAACTCCTCATTTAAAATACCATTTTAATAGGTAGGTCTACCTTCCAAACTCAAACTAATTCTTTCAACTCTGTCACCTACACACTTCCTACTATTAAAATCTATCTTGTACTGCAAAGAACCCAGACAAACAGGAGCACTAGTTCCTCCCATGCCATGTATCAAAGGGAACAAATCTTCACAATTGCCCTTACCACACACTTATAATTATCCTCTCCATCAAACCACAGTGAAGGCACAAATATTATCCTGGGCTTATTGTTGTAACTGTCCTAAAGAATATTCACCAACCTTCTATGAAGAAATATCAGCAATGTAATAACTTAAATCAACCCTTCACCTATAATGTCAGTTGAAAAGAAGGATGCTGCACCATCTAAGGTAAGTAGGGTAGCAATGTTATGATTAAATGGCAACTAAATTTTAACAGAGCAAAGCTGCTATAATCTGGCAAAAATATAGCACTCTGCTGTTTTGATTTCTGCATAGGAAAAGAGAGTGAGTATTGGCAGCAAAAGATGCATTTATCATCTGGTGATAGGCACCTGGCAAGTTCACAGGATTCAGCTTTCCAATCGTCTGGAGCCAGCAGCACTTCCCTCTCCTAGCCAAAGGCCAGGGCTACATGCATTTGTGAGGCTGAAAACTGCACAATGAGAGTGGGAAAACTTCTCCTGTCATCATTGAGACCATTTTATCTTTGGTATTTGTAATTCAGCCCTTGTGTGCTATTTATGGCAGAAAACAGATCTCAAAAATAAATAAATAAATAAATAAATAAAATAAACCCAGGTGGTGTTGGCTGGTGAGAAAGCAACGTGCAAAGAATTTATTTCCCAGTACGATTAAAACTGTCGCTCCTGGACTCTAGAAACAATACAGGATGAAAATAAACTTATATTTTAAAAATATATAATAGCTTGTGTCTACCATTGCTTTTTTAATTGGTTTTTTTTAAAAATTAAACTAAGGAACTACCAGATAATTATTTGCAGGAGATTAACAAATTGGAGTATCTAGAGCAGAGGAGAAGATGATGTGGTAGCACCATCATCACCATTCAGAAATAAAGAGATAAAATATTCCCTGAAGTCAAATTTGACTCTTGGTGATGACATAGGTATGTTTATGCAGGGTTTTTTTTTTTTTTGCAATAATACATAACTAGTTTCATAGTGATTTCTTCTGGGATGTTATTTTAGCTTCCCAGGCTACCCCACAACTGATTTCCTGGTGGTCTCCCATCCAAATATTAATTAGATCCTACCCTACATATTTTTCAAGCTCTGCTAAGGTCAGCTAGATGCTGTCATCTGCACGTCAAGCCTCTTGTACTGGAAGAGATACAAACATTACACATGGATCTGTTTGTCAAAAAGAGGAGGAGGAAACATGTTATTTCTAGGATGCCTTCCACCGGGCTGTAGTTCAACACAATAAAAATAGCAGATAAAGACTAAACAGCAGTTAAAATTACACCAAAGCAATACAACTAATATACATCACAATATTATAGTCACAATAACAATAGCCAATTAAAAATACTGTAAGGTTTCAAATCAACATACACTCTCACTTCACTTTTTCCCTCATGGGAGAGTATTTTGTGATTGCAATATAGCAACAGTGTGTGCATGTGAAGAGGGGGTCACAATATAACACCTACCTTTCTTAGGACTCAGGTCCCTATCATTTTTTTTTCTTTTCCAGATGGCTAGATAGATGGCTTCTATTTATTCTGTGCTGTTAACAAAGCCTGAGAACTTCTGAAAACAGAAGCTAAACTTCTCAAACCCCCTCCTTTTTTAACCTTTTTACATCATTCTGTGTATGGAGAGGAGGATGGAGGAGGAAGACACCTTGAGCTGGTGGAGCAGCAGAGAGTCATCCTAGTCAATTGCCAAAGTTGAACTGAAACTAGAATTCAGAAGGCTAGATTTCAGAACTTGACCAGAAAATAGAAGGACCATTTTCACTGCATGTTCAAGCCTGACCCAGGAAGGCAGATTGCTTTGCACTGTCCTAGCTCACTTCACACCCATAAAGCTACATGAGAAAGCAAAATGCATGGATGTTTCTTCTGCAGTCACAGGCTTTTTTAGATTTTTAGTAGACCCAGCAGGGGTAATGGTGAGATAAAAAATGGCAGAGTAGCTTATAAGAAGAAATTATGGGGACTGCTCACAACACTCACATTCCAATTTCTCTGTTTCCCCCAAAATGGAACCTGCCACAGGCTATTTGCAAATAAATCATGCAAATCCATTCCTGCGCAAGTTTCTGCTACTCTGCCCATGTACTGAAAGTTATCAGTATCAGTCACTAGAAATCATAGTTCTTAGCATCTCATATGATTAATTATTAATTATTTTTGTAGTTTGGTAGCTACCTCCCCCCACTTCAGTGCATTTCTGGAAGATTCTTATGCAGAGACCCACTTGAGTTTTATTTGACTCCAGAATTTCTAAGTTACTTTATGTTAAAATACTTGGTTAGTCTCACCATTTAAGCAAAACAATCTCAAGGGCAAATCTAAACTCAGTCTTCAAGGACTTTGCAGAAGATAAGCTAGGCATCTCCTCCTTTGACAAGGGACTGCAGTCAAGAAAGGGAATAAAGTGAGCATAGAAGTGTTGTCCAGAGCTGAAGAAAGAATTTAGACGATGAGAACTGGAAGGCTGAGATTCCACAGCCAAACAAATCTTTCACTTTCTTTCTTAATTTCCACTGGTCATCCACTTATACCACTGTGCAGCTACTGTCAGGATTTTTTTTGTTGCAAATGTACTTTTTAAAAACTCCTTCCTTAATGCAAATATTAAATCACCTGAAGAGACAATTAACATGGTCTTTATAAGATCCAGTAATAGAGCAAAAATAGAAGTATCTCCTCAAACTAAGCTCAATTCCACTTACCACACCTTGATGCTATGTCGTTTACCAAACAGCAATGAAGAAATGGTTCACTATTATCTTTTCCACATTTTTTAAAAATTTCCCAGTCTAATCCATAAACTGGACATTTTCTCATGATTAACTACGTGATGCTTAGCTCTTTTTCCTCCTTAAACTCAAATAAAGTCAGCTAAATGCAGCCATACTTAATCAACACTCTCAGTAAAACTGATACCTAGAAGAAAACTACAACAAATGATGTAATGTGTTGTTACAGTGAAATGAGATCAGAGGAACTAAGATAAGGAAAAGGGTGCCATATGAATATGATTTATATCTCACCTAGTAAAATTCTCTGCTATCTTTAGCTATATCAGATATCCAGATATTTCAGTGAAGAGTAATACTATCATGCCATCATTAAGTTCTCCCCCTGTCAATTAATTGGACTTTTCCAGTCATTACTGTTTTTCCATTAAAAGAAATCTAGTCCCCATCGCTTCCATACCATTTTCCAAAGATTTTTTTTTCCCTTTCGTGCCAGAGTATTGCTCCGTAGTCATAGCCCCCCCCAGAGTTCTTTTACTGATCTCAGCATGATTTTTCTACATCTACCTTTTAACGAGCCATGTAACCCCACTTGCTTTCAGAAATTTGCAGAAATGTATAAATTCCCAGTTTTCACAAACAAGAAAAGCACCATATATCTGTAGCATCTCAGTCTATTATGCAGGTGTTTCTTCTGTATTATACGCTTAGCCGACACCGTATTTTCTTTCCATATATACTTTTTCAAGCCATTACTTCTAATCACTTGTACAGTATACCTGAAGTCTGAAACAGAAGCTCTCTAAAGCTCCTGGTATGCAACATTTTCTGTCCACTCTTCATTCCATCTTTATTTTAATTGTTCCTTTCTGTAGTTTTTTTCGAGCAGCAGTCACATTTCTCCAAAATATATTATACACTGTCCTGCTTTACAAAATGGAGATATTGCGTTTACATACATGCGAATGCATGCGTTTATTCTCCTGCCTCCATTTTTAGTAAGCTTTCCCTTAGGACCAAAAAACACCCCCCCCACACCAATCTTATGTGAATGAATACGGTCAATTCAGGCACCTTCTACTTTACCCATCGTCCACTGGAGATAGGGCGGCATATAAATCGCATTAAACTTCTACTTTACCCTTTGATAAAAGTTTCTCATGCATCCTATGTATCATTTCTATTATGGCCCGTTCCGCATAATGGGAAAGATGTATTCAGAGCTCTTTTCAAACTTCCCGACAATCTCGCTGCGTTATGTCACCTGTAAACTGGGCTTACTCCTTATTCAATTCCAAACTATTCCCACCAAAGGGCTTAACACCCTCCCACAAAATTCAGTCCAGCAAAACCTGCCTCACCAATGTCTTCTCTGTCAGTGACATCCGGAACTTCATGACACTCCCCTTCTGCCTTCCCCCTCCTAACAGAGCCTCTCCTGCCCTCCACCGTTCCTATCAATATGCCAATCTCCTAGTGACCCCCTTCCATACTGTACAATTTATCCCCTATTTCCGTATAACCACTCTCTTCGGCCTCATTATGCACATATACGCATGCCTGCACAGTGCTTCCCCTACACCCCCCCCCAGTCCCCCCCCACCCCCAATGCCCTTCTCCCCACCCACCACCCCCACCCCTCTCAGCCATCCAGTACTTCTCTGAGCAATACTTAGGCCTAGGAATTGCAACCCCCCCCCCCCCCCCCCCCCCCCCCCCTCCCCCCCCCCGTTACCTGCCCGATCTCCATCTCCGTTCCTCCGGGACTGCAATTGGAAAGGGAAGGTGGACTTGAGCGGCTGCAACCCGACCCAACAGGAGGAGGAAGTCCCCGCCGCCATCGCCCCGGCTGAGAAAGTCAAAGCCGCTTGCGGACTGTCGATCAGCCGAACAACTCCTCAACCTTTACTCTTAACGCCCCGCTCGCAACTACGTGACGGGCGACTCGGTCCCAGGACGAAAACCGAACGGGAGGCATTTTCTCCACGCTAGAGGCGTGGCTTCGCGCAACCGCCGCCGCTCATTGGCCAACAAAGTTGGACAAGGTGGGATTTAGGCGAAGACTCACACGGTCCTCTCCAGCGAATAACTCCACCTTTTTCTACTGCCGGTGCGTTTCCTGTCTTGTGGGGAGTAAACGCAGCCTAGGGGAAAAAGAAAAAGAAAACAAAACAAAACCTTGGATTTCTTTTTTCTTGTTGTGGTTCCGCTATTCAGCAGCAATAATGTTCCCCTTTCCAGTTTGTTTTACGGGTGGGAAACCATCTAAATAGCCCCCACCCCCCCCCCCCCCCTCCAGAAAAAAAAAAAAAAAAAAAGCACGTTTTATAGCCAGGCTTGGAGATCATACTTTTTTTCTAACTTCGATTCTTACGTTGTGATTCACGTTTTATTAAATTGTTTTGAATACGTCAAAAATTGGGGGATGGGGGTGGTAATCTGGTGAAATACTGCAAAAGAAACGTCAAACAGAATAGACCTTAACTGCAAGCTTTAAGATGATGAGGATGATGCAACTTTGGCTGGACTCTAGAAATTAGTCCAGTACTCCTCAACTATTACACCAAGGTCTCTTTGCCTCTTCTGAAATAAAGTTGAAATGTCTTTCTGTTCAAAAGAAACTTATTTTAGACGAAACAGCCTTAGCATCATCTCTAACTTTCTGTACTGCTGTCATGAACTTAATTCTTTGCTTTAACAGTCTCCCTCCCCCAGCTTACAAAAGGGAAGCAACAGAGTATAATGGTAATTGCATGGTTATTTGTAAATGCTTGAAGGGCACATCTTAAAAGGGAAAGCACATTGTTACAAGTGTTACAAAAAACGAAAACAAAAATTCAACATCTGTAGACTAAAGGTATTCAACAATATGATTATTCAAATGGCATAAATGAAAAGACTACAACCTATGTTTGTGCAGCAGTACTAAACCACAATATGCATCACCATTTCCTTTAGCAGGGCAGCCAAATAAAAGGTTGAATTCAGATGTAGCTAGAATCAGAACCAGAAGCAAAATTTCTTCTGCTAGTTACCAAATTTCAAATGCTTCTCAGTGCAGAAAGAAATCATAGTTCCCCTTAATTATTGTATTTTCAGTCACTGCATTAGATCTAGCCCTGAAATCTCTGGAAGAACAATATTAATATATAGCCTTGCAGAACCGAGTTAAATTTAATGAGTGCTTGAGCTACAGACAAAGACAACTAGTTTGGTTATGAACAAACACTGTGCTGCTGAATTATATTTATTTATTGAATTATATTTATTGCTGGAAATACTGAATTATATTTACTTAGAAGAAAAGCTAGCTTCCCCCCCCCAAAAAAATAATTTATCTTTAAAATAGAAGGTTTATCTGAGATTTATTACCAATAGTATAATGATGGAAAATTGGATTTTATCTCTCCCATCTTCTACCCTTTCTTTTGGGGAAATAGTGCCCAATCTAAAGCATGTTTGCTCAGTAATTTAATTACATTTCCTCTGGATTCAAGAGAAATTACTCCCAAATCAGTGCGCAATGAATATTCAATGTAAGTAATTTCATGGGAGCAGTGGCATGTTCATTTCAAGGACTTAGATCAGCAACAGACAAACATAGTACCCCCAGTAGGTATTATTATTTATGACCACTGGCAATGCTATCTGCAGAAATGGAAATTGCAGCTCAAAACATCTGAAAGACACCAAATTCCCTACCGTGGGAAAGAAGCAATATTATGCGTAGAGACATCCAAGAATCTGCAGAAGTATTTCCATTGCAAAGATTAGGCTACATTCTTGCACAGTTGGAAGAATATGGACTCAAATATTTATTTATTTATCTATCAAATTCATACAGACACCCATTTTCCCAAAGGTGATTCTGGATGGTACAAAACAATAAATAAAGCAGCAAATATATATATATATATTTTAAAAATCTAGAAATCCATAGTAATACATAGCAACAAAAATTACTACCCATGAGTGAAAGGAGAATAAAAATGCCCCCCTTAGCAATGGAGCCATCAAGACAAATCTCCAGCTCCTAACCACTTATAAAAATAAAAGGGCAGAACAGCAAAGAAAATACACAAGCATGCACTGTTCTTCTTTTAGATATCTCCAATAGAGGGCTGCAAAAATCTCAGTGATCACTAGATAAAAACATAAAGCTGGTTTTGTTGGCTTTGCTCCCATCTAAGTTGTCACTGGACTGATTGCAGACCGGATATTGTACTGTACTACTGTCTGATATATTGTGTTCCTAACAAAATTCAACTGAAGGGGTTACATGTGACGGAATGTCTATGGACCTTGAGAGTTCAACGTTAGAGAAAAAAATTTCTGAGACCAGGTGAGAGGAAAATGTGAGAAAGAGACTCAAACTAACTCCACTTTAATTGTTCTAGGTATAAACTGAGTTAGAGCCACTGGGCTCAGGTATTCTGGGAATTGAAGTTCATAGGTTGTAAAGGGGCCATAGTTGCTCACCCCTGAGTTAAACTGTTGGAGCAGGAGTAGGGTTTTAATCCATCCTCAGCAATAGAAGCTTCTAGATCAGAGGTCTTCAAACTTGGCAGGTTTAAGCCAGCCAAGACCTCTGTTCTAGATAATATTGGGCTAGTCATTATCTCCCAGATCAGCCAACCTCATAGGATTGTTGTTGTAGGGAAAAATAGGGAAAAGCACTATATATGCCACCTTGAACTCCTGAATGATAAGTAGAATATAAACTTTATA